TAGACCTCGCGATAAAAGACAACTTCATGTCATCAGGTGGTTATCGAGATTATGACTTGCATTGTACCTTTAAATTCTACTTGGGGCTTCCCTCAGCTGATTCTATTGATAAAATAACCAAGCCAGCGACGGTGCTGACGATGACCATCAACGATTCGTCGTCGCGGCCACAGCCGACACTGGAAGGGTGGCCGAAGCGGAAAAGGTCGAAGCGACCGACAAAGGAACATTACATTGCTCTCTGCCTTGTCAAGCTCGCGCACAGCAGCTCTGACCACCGTCTCCCGTTGCTTCCATTTTCCCCGTCTGCAGATGGCCTCTCTTATAAGTGCTCTGTCTGCGGCAAGGCCTTCGCATCCTACCAGGCCCTCGGCGGACACAAGGCCAGCCACAGCAAGAAACCTGCAGGTGGTGTTGCCGATGACGCCGCCTCCTCTTCCTCTGGCAAGATCCAGCATATTATTGCTATCTTCATCAAACTCTTGTTACATTGGTCTTTTTATCATTACAGATTGCTAATATATGTTTTAGTAGTCATTCTGCATGCACTATGGATGAAATATAAAAAAGGTTTTTCTCTTATGTTCTGCTTTTCATGTTTTTCATATCCATTTTATGAAGTTGAGAATAGCTGCTGAGTGGTTCAACATGATAAGAGTGCTGGATGTTAAAATAATTTGCATTAATAGTAGCTTGACATATACATTAATGGCTTTAGCATATTTGATTTATGTTGTAGGAAATATGTCATGTGTCAGTACTACTTTTTTTGTTACTATAGGTTGTTACTTCCACCATTTAATTAGTTCTTCATATTGCATGCATGTCCCGCCCCTTTGTCATTTATACATTGATAGATAGGAATTATTTGTTGAGTTTGATTTATCAAACTCATATATTGTCTCTTTTTATAACAGGTCCTACAGGCATGTTTAATGAACGGTCATATCAAGAGTAGATTTATCAGCATTAGTCTATTTTTGATATTTTATATTTAGTAATAGTTGGTTTACTTTTAATTGAGGTTTGGATAGTTTCGTTCCTGCCATTTGTTCTATTTAAATTTTTGTTGGCTTGTATTAT